TTATTTAGTATTTATGAAATTATTTTAAAATAATTAAAAAAAAGCTTAAAATATAAAGATTGTTAACGTTGCTAAACCTTTTTTTGTTTTTAATAAGATTTACATTTTCTCTTTGGTCACTAGTTTATATAGTGTGTTGACTTCTTGGTTCCTGTTTAATAGTAAAGATGAGATAAAACCATACTGTGTACTTTGTTCTAGAAGTGCAGCCCAAGAAATACAATTTAGATATACTGTAAATTAAAGAAAAATCTAATATATTTAAATCATTGAATATTAGTAAATAACAGTATATTACATTGCATTGTAACATGAACAATCATATCTATCATTTGCATTCCCCGAACCCTAGCTGCCCTTTTTCCTCTATTGCAGAAAGTATTTGTATGCCATTTTTCTGTAGTTTCTGCCTTGACCTTTACCACCTCTCCAGGGCTGTGTGTGCATGCACTCTGTATCTGCCTTCTGGCATGCAGTGTGCATAGACCCAGCACACATTAACTTGCACCTATGCTGTTGTTAATTTGCCATGTTCTATTAAAGGGCCACCAGATGAGAGAGTCTGGTTGTCGGCTATATCCTGAAATTCCTATCTCAATGGCATGCTTGGTTTTTATTAATCCCCTGCCTAGTTCCTCTGCATCCTATTGCTTTCCCAGTTTAAGTTCTTTGTCACCTATCGTTTGCCTCATGCACTAGAATTCATTTGTTTCTGTTTCATGTGTGGTGTCCACTACTCCTATATTTGCTTGGATTATGACATCCAACTGAGCCTTATTCAGGTGTCATCTGTCCATACACAAGAAGAAACAGGGTCCAGTTCATCAGCACTCCACAAAATGAAGACTACCCTAAGGAAAAAGGGAAAAGACCCAGAGTTGAGAATTAACACACATACATTCCAATGAGAGCACCAAACATCCAAGAGCCCAAGATAATTTAAAGGATAAGTTCACCTTTTTATAAAAAATAATAAATGCACATTTTTTTGCAGGTACAAAAGTGCATTTATTATTTTTTGTTTCTGGGGCCTCTAAAGCATTTCACCAGTGATCAGCAGATCATTGGTGTCATGCAGGTCTCCTGCAGACCCGTCATTATATCTGTTTGCCGTATGGGATGTACAGGCAAGCAGATATGCTCAAAGGAAGAATCAATTAACTACCATGGCGCTCCACAGTGTCGTGGCAGTTCATTAAGAACTACAAGCCAGCAGCCGCAAAGGCTGTTGGAACTTGTAGTTCATCAATTCACAGAACACAGTGAATGAACGATGCGGCTGGAAGGGCCAAGCTTGCGTTTTTTTTTTAAAAAATTGTGACAGCTAGCGGGGAGGAGAAGATCTCCTGCTAGCTACCACTGGGGGATCGAGGGGGTGCAGGGGCTGATCCGCTCGTAACATGTTACATGGTACACCCTGAATATTTTCTGAAAGGTGAAGTTATCCTTTAATGATAAAATGCATTCAAAGCAGAATAGAGCTAACACTTTTCAGGGATCGAAAAAACTTTCCCTTTTTCAGGGATGTGTTTAAAAACCATCATGATCATCTAATGACTGCAGGAAAACGTCTCTCAAGGGCTAGTGCAGTACAAAGTCTCACCACTCACAGAGACACACTGTGCAATCCCCTCTAGGCAGTCCTAGGCAGTACCTTCCATATGCACGATTGCCTTGCTCTGCCCAGTTAGTTACATCAACTTTGTCCAACCTTGTCTTCTGTGTTAACAAAAAGCTCTGACTTCTGAAAACTGCTATAGGGGAAGATACAGGGCCAATCACTCTAACAGAGTTGATGTAACTAACTGGGCAGAGCAATGGAAAGACAGAGAGATGGAAAGACTGAACTTCATTACAGGAAACACCTGTACAGAGGCAAATAAATACACAAAAGACATGAGGATACAAGAATATGCATGCATTTTGTATTTACACAATATTTAGTTAACCTGCAGTCAGGGGCGGACTGACAACTCATGGGGCCCCCAGGCAATAAGAGATAATGGGGCCCCCTGTGTCTCCGCCTACACTCAAGCCACACCCACACAACACCCCACCTACATATTGCAGCTCAGCTGCATAGAAAGGGCATTAAAAATAATTTAAAAAATAATAAAACAACATCATGGGGTCCCCCCTCCATTCATACCAAGCCCTTTGGGTCTGGTAGGGGTTTTGAGTGGAACCCCCACGCCAATTTTTTTTTTTTTAAATGGCATGGGGGTCCCCCCTAAGATCCCTACCAGACTCTTATCCGAGCATGCAGCCAGGCAGGTCAGGAAAGAGGGGGACAAGTGAGGCCCCCCTCCTGAACCGTACCAGGCCACATGCTGTCAACATGGGGGGTGCTTTGGGGGGTTACCCCCCAAAGCACCTTGTCCCCATGTTGATGGGGAAAAGGACATCTTTCCCACAACCCTGGCTTGTGGTTGTGGGGGTCTGCGGGCAGGGGGCTTATTGGAATCTGGAAGCCCCCTTTAGCAAGGGGGCCCACAGATCTCAGCCCCTCATGTGAATGAGTATAGGGCACATGGTACTGCTACCCATTCACAAAAAAAAGTGTAGTGTGAAAAAAGCCAGGAGACAGTCTTTGACAAGTCCTTTATTAAAAGAAGAAAAATAAAAGAGTGTCCTCCAAAGTCCTCCTGACAATGGCTCCCAGCAGTCTGACTGTTCTACTGGCTTGACAGTTCCTAAATATGTAAGGGGCGAGGCCACCAGGGGACATCACACGTGTGACCCTGCCTCTTGTGGCATCATCAACCGGGACATGCTGGGTCAATGATGTCACAAAGAGGCAGGGCCACACACATGATGTGATGAGGTGGCCCCGCCCCTTACATATTTAAGAACTGTCAAGCCATCAGAGCAGTCAGACGGCCGGGGGCCAGCATCGGGTAGCTGAGCCTTTTTGTTTTTCTTTTTTTGGGTAGCGGCAGCAGCGGCATCGTGATTGATGTTGGATCTATTTGGGGGGGACATTCTTTTATTTTTCTTCTTTTAATAAAGGACTTGTCAAAGACTGTCTCCTGTTTTTTTTCACGCTACACTTTTTTTTTGTGAATGGGTAGCGGTACCATGTACCTCATACTCATTCACATGGGGGGGATCTGGGGGACCCTTTGCTAAAGGGGTCTTCCATATTTTAATAAGCCCCCCACCCACAGACCCCCCACACCCGCAGACCTAGGGTTGTGGGGAAGAGGCCCTTTACCCATCAACATGGGGACAAAGTACTTTGGGGGGGAGCCCCCCACCCCCAAAGCAACCCTGCCATGTTGAGGGCATGTGGCCTGGTATGGTTAATGGGGGGGGCTTGCTTGTCCCTCCCCCTTTTCTGACCTGCTGGGCTACATCTTGCTTGTCCCTCCCCTTTTCTGACCTGCTGGGCTACATGATCTAATAAGGGTTTGGTATGGATATTTTGGGGGGGACCCCATGCCATTTTTTGTTAAATTTTGGCGTGGGGGTTCCCCTCAAAATCCATATCAGACCCGAAGGGTTTGGTATGGATGGAGGGGGGACCCCACGCCATTTTTTAAATTGCCGGCAATTCTTTCTTTTACATTTAGCTGTCAGTGGGGAACCTCGCTGACAGCTGAAACATTAACGCATGCTTTTCGCTACTAAAATATAGAAGGACTTAATAAAATAACTCATGCGGTATTTTAATAGCATTTTTTGGTGAATTCAAACTTTCTTTTAAAAAATGCTATGCGGTATCCTACCGCATATGAAATTGTGCCCAGTGAGCTTCTCACCTGGTCCCCTACTGACCCCGGCCCTTGGGTAATGACTGAATTCCCGAATGGTCAGTCCTCCCCTGCCTGCAGTTCAGCTTTAAAGGAAAACCTGTAGGTTTATAGTGTAGTCCAATTTTCACAGTCAAATTTGAAAAAAAAAAGTGCTATCCCTGGAGTTCATTAAGACTAGAGATGAGCGAATTTCTCAAAAATTCGATTCGATTCGGCTGATTCGGCGAATTCCAGTGTGAAATTCGATTCGATGCGAATTTCTTCGCTACGAAGATGACTTATAAAAAGGGTTTCTAGGCTTCAGAGAGCCTTTAAATTAGTGCAGAACACTGTACCTTTAATTTAAATGCCCTTGGAGATGAGGAAAGAGAAGAGAGAAGGAGAAGGATGGAGAAGAAGGAGAAGGATGAGAAGAAGGAGAAGGAGAAGGATGAGAAGAAGGAGGGAGAAGGAGAAGGGATGGAGAAGAAGGAGAAGGAGAAGGATCGAGAAGAAGGAGAAGGAGAAGGATGAGGAGAAGGAGACAGGATGAGAAGAAGGAGGAAGGATGAGAAGAAGGAGAAGGAGAAGGATGAGAAGAAGGAGAAGGATGAGAAGAAGAGAAGGAGAAGGATGAGAAGATGGAGAAGGAGAAGGATGAGAAGAAAGGAGAAGGAGAAGGATGAGAAGAAGGAGAAGGAGAAGGATGAGAAGAAGGAGAAGGATGAGGAGAAGGAGAAGGATGAGAAGAAGGAGAAGGATGAGAAGAAGGAGAAGGATGAGAAGAAGGAGAAGGATGAGAAGAAGGAGAGAAGGAGAAGGATGAGAAGAAGGAGAAGGATGAGAAGAAGGAGAAGGATGAGAAGAAGGAGAAGGAGAAGGATGGAGAAAAGAAGAAGGAGAGAAGGATGAGAAGAAGGAAAAGGAGAAGGATGAGAAGATGGAGAAGGAGAAGGATGAGAAGAAGGAGAAGGAGAAGGATGAGAAGAAGGAGAAGGATGAGAAGATGGAGAAGGAGAAGGATGAGAAGAAGGAGGAAGGAGAAGGATGAGAAGAAGGAAGAAGGAGAAGGATGAGAAGAAGGAGAAGGAGAAGGATGAGAAGAAGGAGAAGGAGAAGGATGAGAAGAAGGAGAAGGAGAAGGATGAGAAGAAGGAGAAGGTGAGAAGAAGGAGAAGGATGAGAAGAAGGAGAAGGAGAGAAGGATGAGAAGAAGAGAAGGAGAAGGATGAGAAGAAGGAGAAGGATGAGAAGAAGGAGAATATGAGAATGAAGGATGAGAAGAAGGATGAGAAGAAGAAGGATGAGAAGAAGGAACAGTTCATGTGACAGTTTCTGTCTATTTCTGACAGTTCTGGGACATTCACTCCATACAGCTGTTTTCAACCGCTGTATGGAGGGAATGTCATGGAACTGTCAGAAATAGACTATTATGACAGTTCTGGGACTGTCCTTCCATGCAGCGGTTGAAACATTGTATGTATTTGTTTCCTCAAAAATAGACTATTTATACAGTTCTGGGACTGTCCTTCCATACAAGCGGTTGAAACATTGTATCTATTTTTTTCCATAAATGACAATCTGCAAATACACTTAGAGGAGCGCTGCAGATACACTTTTTGCCGGCTTGGAATTTAATCTTATTTTTTCATCCTACTCTTCTTCTTCATCCTCATCCTCATAAGAAGAAAAAGAAGAAGTAGGATGAAAATAAGATAATTCCAAGCCGGCAAAAGTGTATCTGGCAGCGCTCCTCTAAGTGTATTTGCAGAATGTCATTTATGGAAAAAAATAGATACAATGTTTCAACCGCTGTATGGAGTGAATGTCCCAGAACTGTCATAAATAGTCTATTTCTGACAGTTCTTCTGGGACATTCACTCCATACAGCTGTTTCAACCGCTGTATGAGGGGAATGTCATAGAACTGTCAAGAAATAGACTCTATTAATGACAGTTCTGGACTGTCCATCCACATACAGCGGTTGAAACATTGATGTATTTGTTTCCATAAATGGATCCATTTATGTACACAAGAATACATACAATGGTTTTTCAACCTGCTGTATGGTTGGACAGTCCCAGAAACTGTCGTCATTATATAGCTCTATTCTCTGACACGCTCTCCATCAGACATTCCCTCCATACAGCGGTTTGAAGACAGGCTGTATGGCATGTGAATGTCCCAGAACCTGTCAGAACATAGACTATTTCTGACAGTTTCTGGGACAAATCTGACTTCCATACAGCTCGTTTCCAAATATCGTCTGTATGGAGGGAATGTCATGAGAACTGTCAGAAAGAGACTATTAATGACAGTTCTGGGACTGTCCTTCCATTACAGCGGTTTGAAAGAAGGGTGTGTGCACATAATTGTATGCTATTTAGTTTCCATAGAATGGATTCCATTTATGGAAACACAATTACATACAATGTTTCAACGCGTGTATGGAAGGGGACAGTCCCAGAAACTGTCTCAGAAATTAGTCTATATTTCTGACAGTTTCTGGGACATTCTACGTACCATACACAGCTGTTTCAAATCAACCGCTGTATGGAGGGAATTGTCCATATAGAACTGTCAGAAAGAGACCTATTTATGACAGTTCTGGGCCTGTCCTTGTCTTCGCGAATTCGCCCCCGATACAGCCCGCCTTCCATACAGCGGTTGAAACAGTTTGTAAAAATGTATTGTGTTACCATAAATGGTGATCCATTTATGGAAACAAATACATACAATGTTTCAACCGCTGTATGGAAGGACAGTCCAGAACTGTCAAAATAGTCTATTCTCTCACTACACTATAGTTCTATGTCATTCCCTCCATACAGCGGTTTGAAACAGCTGTACGAGTTATTCCCAGAACTGTCCCAGAAATGTTACTATTTAATAGTCTATTTCCTACGACAGTTCTCTGGGACATTCACTCCATACACTGCTGTTCAACCGGTTGGAATATGATATTTTCAAAACTTCTTCTGTTGAGGATGATAGACTATAATGACAGTTCCCTGGATGAAATGTTAATTCCATACAGCGGTTGCAACTGCAGCGCTTCTAAGTGTAATTTGTTTTCCATAATGGATCCATTTATGGAAACAAATACATACATATGTTTTCAACCCGCTGTTTGGAAGGGACATCCCAAACTGGTCAAGGACAGTCTATTTTTCCGACAGTTCCTGGGGACATTCACTCCATAGCTGTTTCAATCAACCAACAACCGCTGTATGGAGGGAATTTCATACATTGTCAGAAATAGACTATTACATTTCCTGACCTTCCATACAGCGGTTGAAACATTGAATGTATTTGTTACTGTATGGATCCAGAAGGAAACAAATACATACAATGTTTCACACAAACCGCTGTAGAAGGAACCGTCCCCCAGAACTGTCATAAATAGTCCTATTTCTGACTATTTATACATTCCCTCCATACAGCGGTTGAAACAGCTTCTGGTGACAATTCCAAGAACTTCCGAAATAGACCTATATATGACAGTTCTGGACATCACTCCATACAAGCGGTTTGAAAACATTGGTATCTATTTTTTTTCCATAAATGACATTCTGCGAAGGATACCACTTAGAGGAGCGCTGCAGATATACACTTTTTTTGCCGGGCTATGGAAAATTAATTCTTATTTTCAACCTACTTCTTCTTTTTCGTTCTTATGAGGTATGAGGATGAAGAAGAAGAAGTAGGATGAAAATAAGATTAATTCCAAGCCGGCAAAAAGTGTATCTGCAGCGCTCCTCTAAGTGTATTTGCAGAATGTCATTTATGGAAAAAAATAGATACAATGTTTCCTTTCCCAACCGCTGTATGGAAGGACAGTCCCAGAACTGTCATAAATAGTCTATTTCCGACAGTTCTGGGACATTCACTCCATACAGCTGTTTCACCGCTGTATGAGGGAATGTCATAGAACTGTCAGAAATAGACTATTATGACAGTTCTGGGACTGTCCTTCCATACAGCGGTTGAAACACATTGTATGTATTTGTTTCCATAAATGGATCCATTTATGGAAACAAATACATACAATGTTTCAACCGCTGTATGGAAGGACAGTCCCAGAACTGTCATTAATAGTCCTATTTCTGACAGTTCCATGACATTCCCTCCATACAGCGATTTGAAACAGCTGTATGGAGTGAATGTCCCAGAACTGTCAGAAATAGGACTATTTCTGACAGTTCTGGGACAATCACTCCATACAGCTGTTTGAAACCGCTGTATGGAGGGAATGTCATGGAACTGTCAGAAATAGGACTATTAATGACAGTTCTGGGACTGTCCTTCCATGCAGCGGTTGGAAACATTGTATGTATTTGTTTCCATAAATGGATCCATTTATGGAAACAAATAGATACAATGTTTCAACCGCTGTATGGAAGGACAGTCCCCAGAACTGTCATTAAATAGTCTATTTCTGACAGTTCTATGGGACATTCCCTCCATACAGCGGTTTTGAAACAGCTGTATGGAGTGAATGTCCCAGAACTGTCCAGAAATAGACTATTTATGACAGTTAACTTTAGGAGGACTGTCCTTCCATACAGCGGTTGAAACATTTGTATGTATTTGTTTTCCATTAAAATGGATCCATTTATGGAAACAAATACATACAATGTTTTCAAACCGCTGTATGGAAGGACAGTCCCAGAACTGTCCATTAATAGTCTATTTTTCTGACAGTTCCATGACATTCCCTCCATACAGCGGTTTGAAACAGCTGTATGGAGGTGATTGTCCCAGAACTGTCAGAAATAGTCTATTTCTGACAGTTCTGGGACATTCCTCCATACAGCTGTTTCAACTCGCTGTATGGAGGGAATGTCATGGAACTGTCAGAAATAGGACTATTTAATGACAGTTTCTGGGACTGTCCCTTCCATACAGCGGTTGAAACATTGTTTGTATTTGTTTCCATAAATGGATCCATTTATGGAAACAAATACATACAATGTTTCAACCGCTGTATGGAAGGACAGTCCCAGAACTGTCATTAATAGTCTATTTCTGACAGTTCCATGACATTCCCTCCATACAGCGGTTTTCCGGCAAAAAGTGTATGTGCAGAGGTTCCTCTATTCTGCAGATTACACTTAGAGGAGCTCTGCAGATACACTTAGAGGAAGCTTCTGCACATACACTTTTTTGCCGGCTTTGGAATTATTTTATTTTCATCCTACTTCTTCTTCTTCTTCTTCTTCATCCATTCCATCCTCATCCTCTTATTCTATCTTCTTCTGAGGATGAGGATGAGGATGAAGAAGAAGAAGTAAGAAGAAGAAGTAGGATGAAAATAAGATTAATTCCAAGCGGCAAAAAGTGTATGTGCAGAGCTCCTCTAAGTGTATCTGCAGAATAGAGGAACTCTTGCAATTATTCTTATTTTCATCCTACTTCTTCTTCTTCTTCTTCATCCTCTTCTTCTTCTTCTTCTTCTGAGGATCTTCTGAGGATAAAGAAGAAGAAGAAGAAGAAGAAGTAGGATGAAAATAAGATTAATTCCAAACAGGAAAAAAGTGTATGTGCAGAGCTCCTCTAAGTGTATCTGCAGAATAGAGGAACTCTGCACATACACTTTTTGCCGGCTTGGAATTATTCTTATTTTCATCCTACTGCTTCTTCTTCTTCTTCTTCATCCTCATCCTCAGAAGAAGAGGATGAGGATGATGATGAAGAAGAAGAAGAAGAAGTGTAAGAAGTAGGATGAAAAGAAGAATAATTCCAAGCCGCCGACAAAAAAGTGTATGTGCAGAGTTCCTCTATTTTCTGACAGTTCTCTCACAGCTTCTTCACATGTACAGCGGTTGAAACATCTGTATCCTAAAGGAAACTAATAATATACAATTTGTATCTATTAGTTTCCATTTAGGATACAGATGTTTCAACCGCTGTACATGTGAAGAAGCTGTGAGAGAACTGTCAGAAATAGAGGAACTCTGCACATACACTTTTGCCGGCTTGGAATTATTCTTCTTTTCATCCTACTTCTTCTTCTTCTTCTTCATCCTCATCCTCATCCTCTTCTTCTGAGGATGAAGATGAAGAAGAAGAAGAAGTAGGATGAAAAGAAGAATAATTCCAAGCCGGCAAAAAGTGTATGTGCAGAGTTCCTCTATTTCTGACAGTTCTCTCACAGCTTCTTCACATGAACAGTGGTTGAAACATCTGTATCCTAAATGTAAACTAATAGATACAATGTTTCAACCGCTAAACATGTGTTCCTTCTGTCAGAGAACTGTCAGAAATAGCGGAGCTCACTGCAGGGACACTTTTGCCGGCTGATCGGGAAATGTTCGATTCGCGCACCCGAAGTAGGCAAAATTTCGGTTTCGCCGCGAATCGAATATTCCCTGAAATTCGACTCGAATTCCGGTTCGCCTGGTTCGATTCGCTCATCTCTAATTAAGACAGGTGCAGACAGATTTTGAAACTGTGTCTCATGCATTCTAAAGGTGTTGAAGAATGCACCAAATTAATGTACCTATCTAGTACGTGTACTTGAATTTGGCTCATGCTGCTGCACTTTTAGAATGCATGAGAAACACTTTCGCAAAGAATTGGTCTTAATTAGCTCCACTTTTTGAATTTGGTGGCATTCAGTACAACACAATGTAGAACTGACACATTCAATGTGACATAATGTAAATGTGGCACACATTAGAACTACCTGAATTTGGAGCACAAGTTACTGTCAGAACCAAAAGTGGTGCATGCTTTGGGAAATTGGCACAAAACAGTAACAAGAGGTATTAACAGCAGATAAGTGGTGCAGCAGCCTTATTGAATTATCCCCTATATGTCTAATATGTAATCCTATTCACACAGCATATCTAAAAATAATTTTAAAAATATTTCTCACCTTTCTAGTTATTTCTTTGGAATAGGACTTTCGGCAGACAGCAAGCTTTTCTGAGCAATTTCAGGGTTTAATTGGAGGGACAAAGTGGGACTAGGACAGTTTTCAAACCTTGTTTATTACTGATAATGGAATCTTTAATACTGAAAATAGAATATGCCAGCACAGAATCGATAGGGTAATTATGGTATAAACCTCCTCAACCCCCTCCCTAATATTATATAGCAGGGAAAAACTTTGTTGTTGGAGTTTTCAGTAAAAGGTAAGCAGCAATATTTTTTGTGAATGGGAACATGTTGCAAATATAAAGTAGGTGTTATTTGAATTTAGTTGCAGAGTAGAAATACAACCTATGTTATTAACCGGTTCCCCACTGCCCTATAACAGAACTACTGTTACAGGGTGGCAGGGCTACACAAAATCACATATCACAGGAGCAGTAAAGATTGAATCACCTAACAGCAATAAAAAAAACTCACCCTGCAACAATATATCATCTAGAAAAAATATTTTATCTAACACCAATAGATTATTGCATCACTCAGTGAAATTTGCTTCAGTAGTACTGTATATCAAAACGAAGCAGAGCGAGAGGACAGCTGCGACTCACATGTTGTAAATTAAACCATGGCCACATGGCAAAGGCATGTATTGGGTGGTCCGATGGACCCCTCAGATACTTGAACCACAGGCAGCCTTTTAGGACTGAGATGTTTACTACTGTTTGGAAACCAGTATTATACAGAACTTACAAATACACAATAGTATATAATTGGTGCAGCGCTAAAACCTGAATGTCATAAAATTAATAAAGTGCAAGTAAATCAAAGTGCCAATGCAATCATGAGGGTACGAACCAAAAACATAAAGGTATATGATGATACGCAAAAATGATAAACAAGGTGACTGTTAGTGTACATAAAGTGCATTGATATGTCCATAAAGTGACAAAGTGAACGTGATCACACTGTATGATGTCACTGTAAAGTGACTATTGGTGCTATTAAGGTGACAAATGCAATAAATAATTGTCCATGAAGTGACAAGCTGGAGATCCAAACTTATGATCTCAGAATTGGTGATCCACACGCTATATTCAATTGTATGGTGATGTGCCAGGTAAGTAGTAGAATTACGCACTCACCAGATGCGCAATTATGATAAGAATTTATGGATATATACTCTGTGGTCAGTCAGAGGTCCCTTTAAGAATAATTACAGCCTTGTCTGGAGTCCCCCTCTCTGGGTAGTACCTCTGCTGTCCTCCGTGTGAAGCTCTGTGGGTTGGTAAGCTCATACAGAGCTTTTTGGAGCAGGACAAAGAGACAAGAGATGCCGAGACAGCCCCGGACAGAAGTCTTTCACCACCACAGCCACTTTCCTTAGGAACGTAATCAGCTGGGTATTTTAGCGCTCACTTTCTTGTTCATGTTTACAAATACACAAACACTGGAGTATATATATTACCCTGAGCGGAGGTGGAGTGGACAAGGTGCGGCTTATAGAGGAGGAATTGTGTATTATATCCTATGGTCCCTGTGATGAGAAGTGGAATCCAGAGGACCTGATATTGTCAATTTAGCCCTTTTGCCCTCTGTGGGTCAGGGTGTTGAGGTGAGCAGGCATTGCTGCCATTTGAGGATTGGTGTTTGTTACTCCACTAGAGTGAAGATGGTGGGCACCATCACGTTTTTTGCATGGACTTTATAGCTTGATATTTCACTAATGAATTTTGTTTATTTATATTTTATGGATTACAATTAATATTATTGAGCATAATCACCATTCACTAACGTTTTTTGTTTGTATGGATTATTATTTATAATATTGAGTAAAACCACCATCACATTTGAGTGTTCACTTTATTTTAGAAATTGGTTCACTATATATTATCAATTTATATTTCACACTGAACACTAATATGTTGTTTATATTTCTTCAATATGTATTAGGAGTATATTATTGATATAGCGCTTCACTATTTTTAATAATTTGAAAATATGCATTGTTTATTATTCCTTTAACATAATAGATTTCACAGTTTTGTAGAAGTTTAGACATGTTATTAAGTTTATTCATGCTACAATATGAAGGAATATCAGTTCCAGTATTAATAGTACATCTGATATAATATACTAATGATCTATTCTAATATAAATCATCTTATCACTTCATATTTAAGTGTTCTTGCATGGCAAGACCACTTACTGTTATCCCACATATATATTCTTATTATTATAGCCAAATTTACCACCCTAACTCCTCCCACAGTTTTTACACTACATAGACAGTAATATACCGAAACGTGCGGATTTTTCCCGATTGGTGTGCTATTACTTTGTGGAACATTTTGTGGAACAAATGGTTCACGAAATATCGGCGTTTTTGTGGTGAAATTGGTCCCATAGGAATGAATGGCGGAATGTTCAAAACTAGAGTGGGAGCTGACAAAAGCTAGAGTGTGAGCTGAAAAATCAGGACATGATTTCTAAACTGCCATCACTCCCTCATTTTCAAGCTCACCTACACAAATCTTATA